ATGAAATGGGCGACACAGAGTAACTACAGCCCAGATGTTCAACTTTTATAGTGAAGTTAATATTTTAATGAATGTATTATTTTGCTTGATACAGAGAGAGAATAGTAGGTACAAATATTAGAGTGGGGTTTAACTCTGCACAATTCTATATCTTCAAAAGAAAATACTGTATTTACCCTCTCTTAGTCGTTCAAATGAAACCGTTTTCAAAGTGGAAAACAGTCCTAATTCCACATTCTTCAGAGCCGGTGATGCTTCAAACATTGATAAACAGCATCTAATGCGTGTAGAGCTTATAACATTTTTTTTAATGTAGCAAAATGTTGCTTTTCTCTTTTAACAATGAATTCCTCTTATCAGTACGGATGCTCACATCGAGCATAAAAAAGGGCATGCATATTGCATAGCACCAATGACACCAGACCAATAGTGTCCCTAACAAAGTTCAAATCAAACCTACGCCCTTGCTGTCATGTGATGCAAATACCATGCAATGACCCCTATAAAGTAAAAGACAGTAAATAAACCACACTGAGACATGAAGTGACTTTGGTCTAAATTCGCACTTTATTTCTAACACTTACAGGTTTGTTCTGCCCCCTCCTCTTCCCTGCCCCCCCCCACCCACCCCCCAGAAAACAACAGGCACACAGATAGCGATGAGTTAAGGTACAGTAGGACCGTTTCAAACCCAAAAAAACGTTCCCAACAGAATCAGCTTTCAGAAACAACTCGGACAGAGAAAGTCTTCAGGTCAAAAAACAGCACATCGTAAGCAGAATAAAAACGCAAAACACGCTCCTTCCCCCCCCCTCGCCGTCCCACAGTGGTGCTTCTTCCAGCTTCGTCACCACCACCATCTTTAGGTTTTATTAAAGAACACTTTAGGGGTTCACGTCATAAAATCGTTGGGGGGTTGTACAATGCGGAGAAATCAAAGTGGAGATCTTTGGTTTTCACTGTTGAGGTTTTTTTTTCTTTAGCAGTAAAATCTATCTTTGCTGTCCTCTTAACCTTTGGATTTAAGCTGCATTGTAGAAAAAATAGAAAGGAAAATTTTTTAACTTTCTCCTCGATAAATCAACATGAACACGGGCCAAACGATACGGACTGAAGTTATTCTCTCATTAGTTCTCTCTGTAGCTAGAACGTCATGGTAATGGTTGCAGTAAAATGAACATTCACAGAAGAACCACAGTAGAAAACGCAGAGTGGATCTGTGTTTCTACCAACAGCAGGCCTTCGTTTCCTTTAATTCATCACTAACAATGTCTATTTACATGTGGAAAGGCGTGTTTGTGGCGCAGCGCCTCTCTGTGGCAGTTTTAACTTTGGTATCATTCTCGGTCACCGCCACAAACAAGTCCGACTACACAGGCACACAAACGGACGGAGCTGCGCTGCTGCTGGAGCCGAAAGAAAACACAGAAACCTGTATTTGGTGGGAATCTGCTCAGGTTTCAGATCCACGGAGGACCCAAGCGCCTCCAGCAGACGAGCAACACTCAGAAGGAAAATTAATACTTTAAATCCAAACAGTGATGAGAAGACACACACAGCGGACCCTCAGCACCTCGGTGAAAATGGAGGTTAAAGCCTTTAAACGGTTCCTTCATGAGCCGCTTTCTCATCCCTCTCTCCTGAGTTCAGACACGTTTTAGATTTCATCTTTAAAGCTTGAAAGTCTATTTGGTTTCTTTTTCATCAGAGGTATTTGTTCGAGTCCTGATCCCACGGCGGGACGAAGGGGAATCGGAAAGCTTCGTGGAGAACGGAGGAGATGTAAATGGAGGAAATTCTCTCTGGATTTAAACAAGTTAAAGGATAAAGGAACTTCTTAAACGTGTCAAAAACCGATAGATTCATCTTCACAGTCTGAGAACTGACAGCTCACTTTGTGCTGCTTTACAGAAAAGAATTACAGCTGTTTAAAAGAGCATCCAGTCTTTTTAAAGCTGGTTTATAACTTTAAGTCATTAAATCTGAAAACAAATAAGAGATTTTAAATCAAACTAGGAAGTTCTAACATCCATCTGCTGCTCTGATTGGCTGGTTTGTTATTTAAAATGATAAAGTTTGATGGATAAACTCAAATTTGTCGGAATTCCTCCTTTACATTTCTCCCCCCCCTTCGCTCTCCATCCGTTTCCAACAGTCACTAAAGTTTGTTTTGGTTTGAAACACTAGTTCGGCATCTGAAGAACACCTCTCTGCAAGTACAGCCTCACACAAACCCCTGAAAACGAGTACAAAGATCAAGAAAGACTTAAATAGAATCCAATAAATACATAAATAATCAATAAATAAACAAAGAGAGGGACAGAGAGGTTCATAAAATACATTACACTATTCTTCCCTAAACACCCCCCCCCCCCCAAAAAAAGCACACATCTCCCTCATACAATAAATACAAATATTTTTTTTTTCCAACAAAGAACACATGAGAGAGGAAAAAGTTTTAAAGCTTTTGGTTCAGAAATCGTCGTCTTCGGTTTTTATCGAGGATAAAAGTCCCAGCGTCGGTAGAAATGAGTCAAATTAAAAATAAAATAAAGGTTGACGTCCCGCTAAGAGGAAGCCAACCTGTCCAAACCCCCATCGGTACCATCCTCATCATCGGCTGCCTTCATCTCCATGTGTCTTTAAAATGAAAGGTGTCGCTGGTTTCAACACTGGACTTGTTCTCTTGTGTCATCAGATTAGTTCTTAATTCAATTATGACAATTTTTATTTATCGTTTTAAATGTTTACAGGTTAGTACCGAGATATTCTGAGGTTTTAAACATCTACAGTGTGATATCGTTAGAGTCCTTTTAATGCCAGAGAAAGCGAAAGTTGGCCTCTCTCACTTGTTGCTGCACACTGTCAGCCAGCTGGCTGAAAGAAGACGACTAAAAACAAACTTTAGGCCGTCTGGAAATATTTCTGGTTTAAAAAGAAAACAAAGATGTGAAGTTAAGAATTAATGCACTATATTGATATCCGCTTGTTAAACAGGCTTTGATCTATAGAGAAAAGGGGCAAACTGATTATATATCCTTAAAAGATTATATAACCTAAGTAAATCCACCTGTATATAAGCCATCCGGATTGTACATATTTTTATTATTTTTTATCTTTTATTTTTATTTTGTTTATCATTGTGTGCGATACAGGTACACTTGCACCTTAATCCTTATTTACCTTGATATACAGTATATATATTGTTTATTCTTAATGCACCTTCTTTGACTTCTATGCCAATATGTGACAAGTGAATTTCTCTGCTGAAAATATTTCTTTTTTTTTATTTATTTTTTTTTATTTTATATACTCTAATAACCCCAGAGGGATTTTTGGAGTATATAAAATCTGCATTTAACCCATCCCCCTGGGGAGCAGTGGGCTGCCATTGTGAGGCGCCCGGGGAGCAGTGTGAGGTTAAGGGTCTTGCTCAGGGACCCAGAGTGGCAGTCTGCGGGAGTGGGGGATCGAACTCACAACCTCAGGTTTCAAAGCCCTATGGCCTAACCACCAGGCCGCCAATCCCCCCCTTACTTTTATTTTATACCGTTAAAATGCACAAAGAAAGAGCAACTTTTGGTAGTTTTATTCGAGCTTATTACATCTAATGATTTCTTACCAGGAGCTTATTTACAAGACAAAGATTTGTTTGGACTGGTTGGATGAAAAACTACAGACTAAACTCTACTGGTGGTCAGCATCTGGATTAAACTAAAACCAGAATGAACAGATTACATTACAGGGTTTAATGTGGTTTTGGTTTTAATGATGAAATTTGAATTCCTAGTTGGAGATTTACCAAAATTGTGGCTAAAGTCACATTTTTGACAAAAAAAAAAAACTGTTATAACTCTGGTGTTTTTTTTTTTATGCCTATAAACCAGCAGGAGACAGGCTGCAATTTGTGTTTTTTTAACCCTGTAATGCCAAATGTATCGTATTTGATACATACAGTTTCTGAAATGTTTTGCGTCTGACACCTTTTGCATAATTTAATGGTAAAAACTTTGCTCAAAATCCTATTGTACACAATCAGATATACCTGATAACAGAGGGCAGAAGACTACACAAAAAATATTAAAAGGCCAAATAAGGACTTCAAACTAAAAAATAGTAATTTTGTGTTTTGTTTTAGTCTTAGTTTGGGCTTTAAAGGGTTAATCCATAAATATATTATTATCAGCTTGTATTAGTAACAGTGCAACAATATTTGGCAAACTCATTTGTTTTCTAACTTGGAAGTCTCACTTTTTCCAACTGGCCTTTTTTCCTTAAAATGTGTATTTATTTGGCTAATTAGTACCTTGGTTTGTTTTTAACTGTTTTTTTTATTTAAATGAAATATAAATTTCTGCACAAAAAGACGCCGGAGATGATTGTGAAATTAAGAGACACAAGTCCAGGTTGAAAAACAGACACTTAACCAAAGTTTCTCTGCAAACAAAGGCTTGTTTAACCAGGTTCACACTCAGTAACGCAGTCATTCAGCTTGTGCATTGGTTTGGTTGGTCTATTTGGTTTGTTGTGTATCAAACAAAAGCTTTTGGTTTTCAGTTTTGGCTTTTTCACAAAGTTCTGAATGGACTGAAAAGCAGTTTTTCCGCCCCTGTAAATCTTGGAAGCTACATTTTCACAGTCGTTTCCAAACATGTGAAGAGAAAGAGCAACTAAAGGACGCGATGGGAACGTATGAAAGAAGGTAAAACCCTCCCCTGCTTCCAGACTTCTCTTACGACACGGCGGGGAACAGACACACTATGGAAAAACTAAATATAAATATATAAATTCAGTTTGTTGAGGTTATTCCTTATCTAATGAGTCCAGGAAAGGAGAGAATAAAGCCGGGGAGGGGGGGTTGGCTTTAGGAGGGAGGGAGTGATTCTGTCTGCCGGAACCAAAACAGCGATCACAGTTATAGACGGACAGACTGGAGCTACTCACCCCTCCTCCCCCTCCTCTGTTTGTATTTGGTTTCACATCAGTCGCTTAAACAGAGCAGGTAGCAGAAGGAGTAGCTTTTGGTTTTGGGTTGTTTTTTTTTTTTTTGGTCCTCTGCTTCAAGCGCACTTCCTCCTCATCCTCTCCTTCGTCCTGCTTTCCCCCCTTTGGCTCCTCTGCTCCTCCTCGCTTGTTTTGGGCCCTTTGATCTGATCTTTGGAGACAAAGGAGAGGGGCAGATGGGTTGGAGGGCAAGGTTTTTTTTTTTGGTGGTGGTAGTGGGGGGGGGACGCCGGTGTTTCACCTCCTTTTGTTCTTTTTTTTTTGGTCTATCTTATGCTTGTATTTGTGTGTGAGGTTTGTCTGGACTCTCGTCTCCCGGGCGAATCCAGAGACGAACGCTGCCAGAGGCGATGCTTTGGTATCCAAGAGTGACGGTCTGGAAGATGACATGATGATGGTGGGATGGGATGTGTATGGCCTGGATAATAAATCAAAGAAGGCAAATAATGTAAAAAAAAAAGAAGAAGAAGAAGAAATCCCATGATAATGTGTCCACATCTAACCCTCTAACGGCTGAGCTCGGGGTGTTTGCTTTGGTTTGAGAAAATAAGGATGAATCTCCAAAAATCAGACATGTAATTAAAGCTGTAGTTAACTTTCATTGGCCGTACGAGTTTTACCTAAAATATAGCGTTTCTCAGAAAAGATGAGCCGTCTCCTTGCATCCGTTCTCATCGTTAAATCCGGGTTTTATTAAGACAAGCAGTGTCTGTAAATGTACGGCAGGCTGATCGCTGTAAAACTGTGAAGTGAGAGGTAGGTTCATATCCTGCAGGTGGGATCAGCTGTAAAAATGTGGGATTATAAATGCCTTAAAGGTCGATGGTTAGAAAATAATACAAAAATAGATGTTTTGCAAAGCGTTTTGACTGAAGATGAAACAAAGGAATGAATCCTGAGTGGAATGGAGGATGTTTGACAGAATAAAGATCAGAAAAAGTATTTTTCAGCTAAAGCTTTTCTCTCCGTTTGTTGTTTTTTTTTCTCTCTTTTTTTTTGGTTTGCAGTTTTTGGTATTGGGAGATTTTGGTTTACATCTTTGTAATGTAGGTTTTCCTCTTGGAAACACGTACATCGTTTTTCTCTTTAGCCTCCTCGGCTTATGGGACAAGTCTTTCCTCAGCTTCCTGTTTCTCCTGAGCAGTTTCATCTCTGCCGTCATCAAGTTTTATTCTTTTCTTTTTGGTGTTTGTTTCATGATGTCAGGTGAAAAGAAAAGCTCCTCTCTAGCTGTAGGTCATTATTTGGTTTCAAAGTTCCCCTCTTCGTTCTCTCCGTCCTCTCCATCCTTCCTACTCGCTTTACCTCCTTCCCTCATGAGTCTGTGTATTTTTGGCTTCAGGAGACTTCAGAGGGAAAAAGGGCAAAGAGAGACAATCTAGAGATGGATCAGGAGGAGAGATGGCTTTGGTTGAAAGGCGATGTTGTAGATTTTGATTTTTAAAGCTCTGCTTCCTCCTCGTCCTCCTCTTCTGCTTTGGCTGTCAGTCTCTGATCACTCCGCCATGGCTCCTCCCAGGGGCGGCGGTGAGGCTTCGCTGAAGGAGCAGAAAGAGGCGGGACTCGAACAGGGAGACGCAGACTCCTCTGGGCATGAAGTGGGGCTCATGAGGTTGCTGGTGCCAGTGGGTGAAGATTGGCAATAGGAGGGTCTGGGGCCGCTGACGCCGCCCGCGCTGCTGCTGACCAGCCCCATGCTGGACATGGAGGAAGCTGCTGTCGAGCAAGTCACCATTGGCAGGAGGCCAGGGCGGTTCAGGAAGAGAGAGGGGCGGAGGGAGGGGGGCACGGAGTGACCGCCGTGTCCGCTCAGAAACATGTGGCCCGGCCCCCCCTCCAGGCTGGAGATGGGTAGCTGACCGCCGCTGGCTGCCAGAGCTGATAGGAGGCAAGGAGGGGGACCGAGGAGGGTGAAAGGAGGAAATACAAGAGAAAGTGAGCAAAAAATCAGAAGAAATACAGAATAAAACTTCCTAAATAAGCAGAGGATGATCAGCAGGAGGGGGTGATGGAAATGAGGATGAAATACACAGAAGAGAATGTACAGAAGCTCAGTGTTTTGTTAAAAAAGGATCAGTTCAAAATGTCTGACAAAAGGATTTACTGTAAGATGATGAGACACTTCAAAATGATACTAAAAACACAAGAATTATAAGAGCTGAAACTTTATTTTAACTGTGTTTAGTAGGGGTGTGAATTGGCAAAAAAATGGCAATATGATGCAACTAATCCTGAACTAGCAGTGTACATTAACAAAGATGATATTTTAAGATTTTTTAGTAATTAAACTCTGAAAAAACCTCAAGAGATCTTATTGTTGCTCTGCTGCGACTGGTGCAGAGCAGCTAAACAATGGGCTCTATGGCAGTGTGCTGCCAACTAGTGGCTGGAGGATTAGGAGGTATATAAAAGTAACACAATGTCATGAATGTTTTAACCTGACTCCGCCAGATGGATTTGCTCCGCATATCCATCTGGAAACCTTCCGTTAAAGTAATTTTGGGAAGGGGCGAAAATACTGGTTAGCTGATTGGCCTATGTTGGTGATAGACGGGCCAAATAAACCAATCAGATCAACGAAGCATATGACGTACTAACAGAGCGACGACGAAGAGGAGCCAATTGATAGATCAAACTCTTGCCGAAACCAGTCGGGAGAAGAGCAAAAACATATTTTCCTCTGAGAAAATCCTCCAGAGCAGTGTTTTGCTCTTCTTTCAGTGAAGAAATACTCTGTAATTCCGATAAAACTTGCTCGATAGCCACGCTAACGCTAGTTTCATCGGCTGAAGCCGCCATGTTCTTTAGACTGAACTGTCGCGCTTCTCGTTGCGTCACACTTCAACCCGCCTCAAAGCCAACGCTGATTGGACGTTCGTTTGGTGAACGGCTCCAAATTCTCTTTAACGAAGAGTCTCCAGACTGATCTGCGAGTGAAACCTTGAAAGCTTGCGAGATCAGGATGGTCTCACGAGGCTATGAATGTCTGCCTATAATTTAGGTTTTCAAATTTTAGATGAATTTGGATGCAATTTGAATCCGTACCAAAATCCTCTGATATATGATATTGTATAACATTTGACGGAATCCATTTTGACTTACGCCTTGAATTTTCAGAGCTGAATTTGACTTGGCTGAGTGTAACATACAGAGCAACAAGGTGTAAATTTTATCTGTTTTAGTTCTATGGAGTTTTGACCTGTAATTTTCAATTCTATTTTAGTTTGTTTATTTTTTTCATGTAATACTTCTCACATACAGAGGAAAGAACTAAACAAAACAAACAAAGAAAAGAAAGACAAGCCCACAAGAGACAGACTGCTGCAGCAACACAAATGACCCTAACATCATACCTGCCATCTACTGAAGCAATGGGAAAAAAGTGAAAACAGCAACTGGAGACTAGACTTCATATAATCAATTATAATAAAGACAAAAACGAAAACTAAGTACATTTTCTTTTAAAACTTTGCTAGTTTCCGATTAGTTTTCTAAACTCATATTACAGTTTCAGTTAATTTTCATTATTTTCAAGCTTTAGTTTTTAACTTTATGTGAGTCATTATTTTTTTTTTTATAATTCTAGTTTTTCTCGTTAATAAAAAAAAACAACAAACAAAAAAACTAAAATATTCTTGCAGAGTAAAAAACACTAAATGTGGGTTTCTTCAAGGCTCCATCTTTGTCCTGCTTTTTTTCCTTACATGCTCCACCTATTAATAAAGAAAACTATAACCAACTGAATTAAAATGTTAACATGTTCTAACAGGTTCTGCGTGAAGGTATATTTATTTATTCTACTATAGGCTGCCTCAAACTGAAAAAGAAAGAATACTGAATAACAGACAGAAAATCTGTAATTCTAGACGGTCACCATGAAACCGAACAAGTAAACAAGTCAATTAGGGCCTCAGGGCTCTGTTCTCTGAACTCTTTTTTTCCATATCTACATACTCCCTTTTTTCTGCTTATATAAAATTACAGGATCTCTTACTATATAACAGATTACTCAAGTTAATAACTAAATACATTTTATTTAGCTGAAGACTGAAGCTTTCCTGTTGAGAAATGAATGTTATTTTATTTTAGAGTGCAGAGATGAATTTTACACAGCTTATAATACTTCTAATACTGACAGAGACATTTGTCTCTCTTAGCCAATATAGATCTGTGTAAAGATTCCACGTGAGTTTAGTCTTTCTTTTATTGCATTTCTACATATTCGCATGCTCTTAAAATCTGGACAGTGCTCTTACCTTTCATTACTTTTAAACTTATAAGATATAGCTTTTAGTTCTTTTAATGTATTGCTCTGCCTCCATAAAGGGAACTACTTGTTGTAGTAAAAATAAACCTGCTCTGCTCATATAATTCCAGATAAAGTTGAGATTATAACTCATGTTTCTATAAATATTGGTGCTGCTTAAAGAAGTACAATAATTATCAATTTAATCAGTTTCTGCACAAACTAAGAAGGATATTCAAAAGACACAGAAAACAGCCACTGATACAGCTGTGTTATGAAAGAGACATAAAGGTGTCTATTTGATCTAAATTAGCAGCAGGAGATAAATGATGGTCTGCAGAGGTTTACTGGAAAGTCACTGAGCTTCACAGAGAGTGTGATAACTTGCATGTAGTTGTGAAAAGTTTTGAGTAAACACAGCTCAGCTGCAGTGGAGGTGTGGTGGTTTAGTATTGTTATGGCAGAGAACTGGACCCCTGAGGTATCAAGGATCCTGGTGAAAGAAAAATAAAAGTTTGTGTGCACTCATTTATAGTGTGTACTAGTCTGCAGGTCTACACTAAGTTCATCTGGTTACATAAAATGCACTTATGCAAATATATTTGTGTCACAATTACTGCAAATAAAATAAAAATCTTAATTCTGCAGAAAATTGTTGGAATTAATGTTTCTCTGCTTTAGTTTGACTGTGATTTAGTTTAAGTGTAAATTAGAGAAAAGGTCAGGAAATGATGAAGAATAGTTACTGAGAACAATACCTTCCTGACTATAAGGATAAATGCAGGTGAGATCAAACTCTATCGACTCCTGTGGACTTCATCTGTACCTGAACCCAATTAGGACAATGGAGTCATGAAGTTTATTTCAGAGATTAATGCTCCAAGGCTTTCGTTTCACTTTAGAAAACACTTTTCTGCAGCAAAGAGATTAACTCTGGGCTGAAGCTGCTTTTACCGGCCGACGTGACCATCTTTCTGGTTCCAGCGGAATAGGAAACACTTTAATCCATTACAGCGCCATGAGTGTAAACATTCATAGGACGTATGTGTGGCCCCAGAGGGAGCCAAAGCTGCAATCCTCTCCTGTCAACACTTCATTTCAAACCCGTCTTTTCACGGAGCCGCCTCTTTTATTTCCTCCTGCAGCCTAAAACTCTATCAGAGCCGACGGAGCCAGAGCTGCGCTTTCCATAACAGACTGTATCCTTCTCATCAACACATGGCCTGAAGGACGCTGCCTCTCCAAAGAGCCAGAGAAAAAGATGTTCAGCTGCGCTATAGGCAGATGGAGCACGTGACGGATTCGGAGCTGAGCTTATTTGCGATGCTCAATTGATTCAGCAGCAGATCATCTCAGTCAGAAAGGGGAACTGTGAGTGAAAGCTGGTTATTTAGCCAACAGGTCTTAATATTGTCAGGGTCCGGATTGTGTCTGTTCAACTGTTCGCCGTGAGCTGACTCGGCCTCCTAAGCTCCGCCATAAGGGGCCCTTGTCAGTCTGTGATAATAGCGGGGCATTGTATGAGAATGAAATTGAATCTTTCACCATACTGAGAGATTCAAAAACTTTGTGCTGAGGAGGAGCGAGCGCCGGTGGCGACTGTCACCTGAGGCTTTGCGAGAAAAATGAATTTCAGACAGAGTGGATGAAGGGTGAAATGGGAAGTGGTTTTTGGAAATGGGGACCAGAGGGGATGGTCAGCGCGCTGGAAGCGCATGCACCGTAGACACACACGTTTACCTTGCATGGTGGCCAGGGGATTACTGCCGATGAGGGCCTGGTTCATCCCTGTGCTTACTCCCATCATTGTGTTCCTGAAAGGTGCATGAATTCACATAAACAGAGTCTCAGACATGAGGAAGAACACGGCTGCAGAATAAACACCAAAAATTATTTAACCTTTCATCCCTTGTTGATTTTATTCCAGTTTTTTTTTATCATTTTCCTGTATTGTATTGTTATTTTTTTCTGAATGTAATGGTCTTTATATTTGTGCAAAATATAGTGCTTTATTAATAAAGTTGGTTTTGATTCAAATTAGTTCAACATATGTTCTACAGTGGATATCTACAGAATTTTACACAATGAACATTAGATATTTAGTGGTGCAAAACCAATAAAACATTTCTAAAAAATGTAATCTTTAGAGCATATTTATTCCTCCCATGGAGGAGAAGCTACAAACAGTGAGGTAAAATAATCTGGATATCCACTGAGGGCCGCTTTAGGCCAAGTCAATGGAAATTTGAGTGGAAGAAAAAAATGTGGCACAAAAAGGGAAAAAGATGCAGAGTACTGAGAGGATTTTTATTTTAAGCTCTTTCAGGAGTTTGAGGGAGATTAACAAGCTTTATATCACAGTCTGGGTGGATACTCATTCTGATTTGCATTTGGACACTCAACTAATGTTTGAACCTGTAGGATCATTTCTGCTATTTTCTTGATGATAAGCACTCTTTACTATATGTGCTTAAACAACCAGCAAAGGCCTTGTAAACTACCAGGATTCTGAGCAGTGGGAAAGTAAAAAAAAAACAATGGATTCAAGTTTGACTAAAGATATGGAAGAACTCAAGTTGTCATTGAATGTCATGTCAGAAGAACTGAGTTAGGTGGTAAAGCAACAAACAAGCCTGATGCGCTTGATTGGAGAAATTCAACAATTGAAGGCAATCATCACAGAAAAGGATGAGAAGATAGAAGACTTAGAAAAAAGAGTGGAGGACTTGGAACAGGCTACAAGAAAGGAGGACATGGTGATACCTGGCCTTAAAACAACACACCGTTCATATGCAAGGATGACAGCAGAAGATAATAAAGGGAAGATACACCACCAGATGAACTACTTTCTCCTGAGCAGCAAATTGTCAAATTCTTCAGTAGCAAAAGGGATTTTGCTGGATAGTAAATCCGTTGTTGCTTGTTATACAATGCCTCAAAAAAGCTCAAAAAGCAAATGTAAATTTGGATAAAAGGAAGAAAGGACCAACAATGAGTGAAGTGATTGGCTGCAGGATGTCCACTAAAAGGCGCTATAGGCTAGTTATAAAAAAGGTTCTGGTCAAATAGCCTGATTGTTCTGAATAAATGAACCTGCTTCCTCTGAAATAATACTTTATATTATTTAACATGATGATCAGCTGAGGCTGAGCGCGCTGCAGGGTCTATGACCAGTGCTGGTTACCTTGGCAACACGTCACAATGATAGATATTAAAACATCCACTCAGTTGCTTCTTTTATAAAGACATTTACAATAAAAAAACAATAATGTACTAATAATTAATTTGATACTAATTTTTCCATAAGTGTTGGTTCCTTTGAATACTTTTAAGCTGAGAATTAGATGTTTTGAGTTAAGACTCCCTCACATGTCAATGTTTTAATTGAAATTTTATTGTAAGTGCATATTTGGCCTTTATGTGTGTGTCTTGTACGTATGTAATTTTGTGATGTAATTTTGATGCCTATCTTGGCCAGGTCTCCCTTGCAAAAGAGATTTTTAATCTCAATGGGTATTACCTGGTTAAATAAAGGATAAATAAAATAAATAAAAATAAAAGTGGCCTCTGCCTTGTGTCTGTTCATTTCTAATGATGGACAGAAGGTCATCATCTCCCACTTGAAAAGCCACTGAAGTCTGAGCTTCTAGAGCCAAAACCCAGACTGATCCAGAACATGAAGTAAAACTACCTCATGCCTTATTTTCAGGCACTCAGAGCAAAAACCATGGTCCCAAGGTTACATTTTATTTAGAAATCGGCTTCAACGAGCTTTTTGAAGTCCAATCGGACACTTTAGAGCCGTTCATGGTTCCCTCTTCAGACAATCTTTCTTTTCCAACAGCACCTAAAGAACCGATGTCTGCTTTAAAAGCCCCGCTAACACTGGCCTGTAAACTGGTCTGACTTAAATCCTTCAGAGGCCTCAGAATCCGGCCTTACAGGCTTAGCTTCTAGTGACTTTTAGATGCATCCAGGCAGAGACATATCGAAAAGTAGCAGGACTCGTCCCATGAGGACAGGAGTCTGAGGCCCGTGTCCCAGAGGGTCCGTCAAGCAGAGGATGAGAAACCCCAGAGCCAGCAACACAGATGAGCTGAAGGTCACTAAAAGAGAAACCTGGGCTTCCTCAACAACCACTAAACCGACTAAGAAACCCAACTGTGTTTTTTAGTGCTGTAATCATCCAAATTGAATAAAAAATAAAAATATGTTAAACACTGAGTTATTATTTTATTGACATTAATTAACTTGATTTTCTTGTTATTCATTGAGATGCATCTGAATAGGAAAAGACAATTAACATGGAGGCGCTGAAACCTTTAAGAACATCAATAAATGGGCAGAAACAATCCTTTAATTAAGTCATTAATTAAGGATTAAACATAAACAATCATTAAAAAAAAATTCTCTAAAGAGATTACATAGATCAGGTGAAACAAGTCAATACACTGGAAAAATTATCTTGAAATAAGTAAAAATGTCTTTAATTACCCTTAATTTGAGCAGGTAAATGAGATAATTTGCTAATGGAATTAGTATTTTTACTCTTAAAATAAGAAAATTTGATGATATGCACTTGAAATAAGACAATGCAATTGTATTTTCTTATTTTAAATCTAAATTGTCTAGTTCATTGGCAAAATGTATCTTTTATCTCCTCAATTCAAGAACAAATGCACCTATTTTAAGAAAAAATGACTTATCTAGAATTTTTTTTTTTCCAGTGTAAGCTCTACTTTGCAGTTAAAAACAGGGGGTCATGGCAACAATCACACCAAAAAGCTGATCTAAAACAACAATACTTTAATATTAAAAAACAAGCAAAGGCTGCTGTTCAAGCCAGAGCTCCAGTGGATTCAAAAAACTCTCCTTACTGCTGTTAAAATACCTGCTTTTTGGAGCTAAAACAATCCTCTCTACTAGAAAACTATATCTGCGGTTGTTATTTTATTCTATAGCACATGACTGAGCAGGTGGTTAGTTTTTAATTGCATGAATCTGTGTTTGAAATAAAAAGAGAGAATATGAGGAAACTGACCCAGTGGAGAGCCCAGACGTCCCGAGGCTGGAGGGAGCAGGACTGGCCGTGCTGTGAGGAGGAAGAGGAGGAGGAGTCACAGAGGAGGACATGGCGGCCGAGCTGACGGGCGTCATGGGGCAGGAAGCTGAAGGTGACGAGCTGGATCCTGAGAGGAAGAGGACAGAGATGATGCTCCACGTCAGAGTCGCTGTCGACACAGTGCAGAGTTACAGCCTGGTTTCTAACACTTTGCTGATGCCGTTCCTTCTCGGCGTGTCCATCCTGCCGCAAAGCAGAGGAGTCTGAGCCTGGGCTCAGCGGGCCAATACATTTCCAGCTGTGTTTGTTACCCGTCAGGTCGTTTGTCATGCGTTAGACGCCCGGGATCGCTGGCTCTGCAGCCGAGGACGATAAATCACCGGGACGAGTCATGACTCATGGAGGTAAACAGCTCAAGATGGGAGCGGCGTCTCCATGTCAACAAAATATCACTGTGTTCTGTTCCAGGCTTTCTCTCGCAGAAATCATTTTGAAGCGTTTCATCAAAGCAGCAGACGTACCAGGAGTACCGGCAGTTTCATCCGTCTGCTGCAGACCTTTGGGTCTAAAAAAAACCTCAACAAGTAATTACAGCTCACCTGTTGTGCTGAGGCTGGTGGTGACCTGGGAGAGACTCTGACTCGATATCTGGTGAAGGAAGCAGAGGAAAGTGTCAAACAGTTTTCAGCTCAGGAAGCACAGAGTTAGGCGCTGGAGGCCGATCAGAACTGGACGCTACCATGTGGGGGCTGTAGCAGTGGGCTTTGTGCGTCACGACAGGCGAGGTCTGGCTGGGCAGGGGAGGAGTGCTGCTGCTGGACGGGTTGATGCGTTTCTCCTTCTGCCGGCGGTTGCAGAACCAAACACGGATCACCTCCTTCTCCATGTTCAGCTGCTCCGCCATCAGCAGGATCTCCTCTGACGTCGGCTTCTGGTTCTGAGGAGGAAACAAAGCATATTACGCTCTTTAACTCATCAAATATTTACTTTTTCATCTATTAAAACTTTAATATAAGAGTCATATTTGCTGTATATCTTTAATTCATAAACTAAACATTAAGACATTTAGGAGATAATGTCAGAATCTGCAGCTCAGGTGAGAAGCGACATGATGTTTATTGGTGGTTTGAACAGAGCTGCTGGATCTTTGCACAAATTGGGGCTATTAAAAACTCCATTCGAAACATTAGGAAATAGAAATTATGTCAAATTTTAACATAACAATCAGAACAAATACATATACTGAAAGTAGTGTTTATAAAGGAAAATTGACTTGGGATTGTTTGATTTAAATTAGTGATGTTATGAGATGAGCCGGGGCTTCGAGGCGTGTGTCGAGTAATGGAGGGGGGTGTTTCCCCGAAGCACGTGTCGAGGCGTGATTCATGTAGGGGAGGGGCCAAAATTGATGACGTCCGAGGCCTCGCTATAGTTGTACGACGTGACCGCTTCGCGAAGTGGTTCGGGAAGCGCAAGAATTTTGACAGGCATCTAAACAGCCTCAGTCAAGATGTGGGAGTTTGGAGGAGAGCTGCTCTCAGCTGGATAGTTTGGATAGATTCTAAGAATAGATTGGTTGTTTTTCCAACCAATCTAGTTGGTTAAAACTAATTTGGTTAGAATAAACAATGTAATGATCAAATCTAAGGAAACCACCGGAAAAAGTCAGTGTTAACACGTCACTATTAATTAGTATTTTCCCCCCTGTGCGGTTATCTGTATCGATGGCTTCATCTGTAAGAGGCAGGCTTTCACTCTAGAGGTTGATGGTTCAAATCTCGTCTTTGACTTTTGAAAGTTGCGATTATACTTAAGTATTTTGGCCGATGAGACGAGTAAAAATAGAAAGATTATAGAAATATATAGATTGGGTAAATTAGGTCAGTTTGGTCAAAAGACTGGTTGAACACAACTTCCAACCTGATTAAAACCAAAAAACGTGGAAAAACTATCGTGTTTGAATAAAAATGACTCATTTTGCTCATCATTGCCCAATTTGCAAAAAACACTTTCACTGTCTGCTTGAGTTTATTTCACTAAAAAAGCACAAAAACTGTGCACCTTAAATTATTGTTCTAAGAAATTTTACAGTTAAAAAAAATTACAAAAGATTTTAATATACACACCAACTATTAACAATTTCAAAGGAACATAAAAGGGGAAAAAAAGAACAGTTGCAAAAAAAAATAAAACTCACAGATTTTATTACAAACTGTAGTTCTGCTGTCCACCAGTAGGTGGTGACATGTTCACATGAAGCCTCATGAACTGTGGGGATTTGTTGAAGCAATTTGGCCAAACGGTTCAATGCCTCGTGAGGCTTCATCTCACCATCACTAATTTAAATTAACCGTTAAACTAACAGATTTAGTTTCTGTTGTTAAAAATAATCCTGCCAGCTCAGATTTCTCCTTTTGTCTCTTTGTTTTGAACGTATTCAGCCTCCACAGTCAGCGGAGTCTCGTACCGTGCTGAAGTTGCGCTCAAGCACCACTCGGACGTTTGTCTCGATGCTGGTGCGTTTCTTTCTGCGTCGGCCGGGAAGACCCTCCATGCCCAACATGGGGGAGGAGATGGAGGAGGGGCTGGGCAGCATGCTGTCCACCGCCATCGTTTCTGCAAGAAAAGGAACCAGGGAGAAATGTGCATAAAATTTATATGTTTTCATTCAGAGAGGTAAAACAAGAAGGGAAAAATGAAATGAAATAAATGAATATCAACTAGATCTAAATGGGGAAATGAGTTACTTGGTTCAGGAATACTTCTATCAATCATTTTCACATTTTAATAAAGATTCATGAAATTTCTTTTCAGGAAAAACTCAAAATGATGTAATAAATTACACATGTAAATCAAAAGTCCAAAGTAGATTTCACAATTCTAAGCAGCTGTATTTTACTTATTTACTTTACTTAATTACTTATGACTTTTTTGTCATGAAAATATCTCCTTAAAATGAAAAATGCTAAAAAAAAAATTATATATATAAATATAAAACATACTGGGGAAGATTTTCAGTCATCCAGGTTATAGTAATTCCAAAAAGTTTGAAGACATTTTGGATCCAGGGAAGCTTTTTCAATTCAAAAATTGAAAAATGAAACCATTTTGAATTGAAAAACCTTCCTGGATGGGAAGCGAAACGTCTTCAAACTTGGGAACAAAGTCCAGTGGATTGTTTTTTTTAACAATAAATACAAAACACATTTAATCATCTAAGAAATCACAACAAACTGATAAGTGCATCAACATCTATAATGAAACAAAAATACAAAATAAAGACAGCAGCAACAAAACCCTTAAACTAAAGTTCATAAATTACCAAACAGCAAGAAAAAATATTAAATTATTAGTGAATTTTACAACATGTCCAAAAAAGTCAATGTTTTCAGCCTGTTTGTATTAATATAAAATAAACCAAACTCAGAGTGCTATAGTTTCAAAGAAAGATTAGTTTATTATTTTATTATTTAGTTTTATTTCTCACTCCCTGATTCATGCAGTTTAGTCATATAATAGTGAAAATAAACTAAAATATTTAGCTGCAACAATAAATCTCCCAAAGTCTGACCATCTGGTTCAGGATAATTAAATTCATGCCATATTTTTTAAGCAACATCAACACTTAAACATTTAAAATTTTCTGTGGATGTATAATTTTGGAAACATTGTTTTCATAAAACAAAGTTCTAGCTTAGCCTTTAAAGATCACAGTGCTTCCATTTGCAGGTAAATATGGAGTACCACAGGGCGCAGTGCTTGGGGCTAATTAACTTCTATAAATGCTTCACTTGATAAAATTAGAAGCTGCATAAGAAAATTCCCAATTGATCCTCTGATGATGTTATATTGTCTTTATATTGTCTCTTCAGCAGGACTCCTTAAATAAAGAGGTTTATCATCTCTATGGAACAAAACACTGGTTAGATAATGAATCAAATCTGTTATAAAACTGTATAATATGACAAAATGTGTCATATATATATATATATATAAAAGCTTATCAATCTGATGCTTTTAAAATTAAAGCACAGTTTGTTGTATTGGTACTGGAGCTTTTGCACATCTTATGTAGTTTTCTCAAAACCAGAGTGACCTGTGTAGATGGTTCTTAACACCGTCTGGTTTTGCTGGAGGTCTGTTTCTGTTGTTTCAATCAACTGTCGCCACATGCTTGCTAACAATAAGGGCTTGCCTAACTGATTCCATGCAAACGGTCAGGCCTTCTAAGGACCCGTTAATCTCTGTCTTAAATCTGCGCTGTATAAATAAATAAACTTGTTGTCTCACCTGCGTCACTCAGCCACTTCTCTAGCAGCGGCTTCAGCTTACACATGTTCTTAAAGCTCAAGTTTAAAGCTTCAAAGCGAGAGATGGTGGTCTGGCTGAAGTCATTTCCATACAGCTTTCCCATGGCCACGCCCACGTCGCCCTGAAAGAGAGAGTGTTAAATGAACGCACTGGACCTCTGAGTGTTGGTGCTTCCTGTCTGCCTCCTCACCTGTGTGAATCCCAGCTTAATGCGCCGCTGTTTGAAGGTTCGGGCGAACTGCTCCAGCTCCTCCAGGTCGCTCGGTTCTTCGCTCATGTGGGCTGTCTGACTGCCGGGGTTCAGGCTGGAGGTGAGGGAGGAGGGCATGGCGCTGCTGGATGCAGAGGATGCTCCTACAGATGTTACGCCGCTGCTGCTTCCACTGGAAGCTACAGAGGCTGAGCTGCTGCTGCTGATTCCTGCGTCGCTGCTCTTCTCCCTCTATAAAATTAGCATAAAAGGCATTTAGACCGATTCACGCTGATCTACTGAACAAAAGTAGGGAGTGTTAAAGCTTTAACCATCAGAAACTTCAGGAACTACAGTGAATGTTTGCCAGTCTGGCTAATTAGCATTAGAGATTTTTCACACTGACTTCAGTTATAAGTGCAGAATTTATTGTGTTTTATGTAAATAAAATAAAATAACACTAAGCAGAGCAGAATAATAAAGTAAATATAAATACAGAACTGTCCCTACAGTTAGAATATATTCTGTTGGGGGAAATAAAATAGTCCAAACTATTTGCTAAATGTCTGAAACTGTCAGATTAGACGGATCTGTGAACATTACTTTTGAAGTTTTACTCAGATTCTAAATTGGATTTGGTCTGGACTTTGACTGGGCCATTCTAACATGTTTGTTCAGGGTAGTTGAACCTTGTGTTTTACAGCCTCTAACAGGTTTTCCTGCAGGACTGTCCTGGATTTAGGTCCATCCATCTTCCCATTTATTCCAAGCAGCCTCTCTGTCTCTCCTTTAATACTTTCCTTTTTGATAAAGCTTATAGTTACGTGGTTCAGGTTATCCTGAGCTATCTCTATAGTTATGCTGCTATAGGCTTAGACTGCTGGAGGACATAGAGACCCCTATTTCATCATTCTGCTTCATTCTACCTCTATTCTCCCACTCTGCAGAATCTGTTAGTTCATTCTCTAATGTTCTGCTCTCTCTTTATGCTTTTTCTACGTAGCTGAATACAAATACATGCCTACATTTTTCCATATCTGTAAATAAATTTATGAGCTACTTCGAGTTTGTCTGTTACATAACAAGAATTTAAGTCAATATATCAGTTCAATCAAATTTCAGGCTGCTTTTTTTCCTTGAAGGTGTTGTCCTAAAGAAACCCCCCATAGTGCAAAAATAAAACAAAAGTCTAGAAGATGAAACTCCAGCCGGGTTTCATTAAGGTTTCTGTTTGCTACCTGTGCTTGGAGTCCCATGCGAGGTGGGCTTGTGAGAAGTCCTCCTGCGCTCTGCTGAGGTAGCTGGATCAGATTTGCTGTGGAGAGCAAACCTGGAAAAGTAGGAGAAACCAAATAAGAACAAAAGATCCCATCTGATCAGTGAGGCAGATAAATCAGGGAACACGGAATAAACCGAATCCTGGAACCTCTTAGATGAGGGGTCTCAAACTTCAGTCATCAAAGGAGGATGCCCTAAAACATTTAGATCTGCTTTAACACATCTGGATAAAAGAACTGGGCTTTTAGAAACTTTTAGAAACTAGCAGGTTGGACCAGGGATGCATGTAAAAGATGCAGGACAGCAACCGTTGATGATTGAAGGCAGAGAACCTTTGCTTAGATAAGGGTTTTCTCCTCACCCTGCTGTGGCTGCTGGGCCTGTGCAGGCTGCGACAGGAGGAACTGGGCCGGGGACTGGAGGGGATGACCCGGCATGAGAACCAGCTGCTGGAGCTGCAGCAGCTGCTGGATGTCCTGCAGCACAAACATGTTTCAGATGCGGCAGCAGAGGATGTAACGGAGCAGACAGGTGTTAATGCGGCTAGTACCTGCGCGGTGAGCTGGATGGGCTGCGACAGGGCCAGCTGTGGAGGCGGAGCCTGGACCGGCTGCTCCTGTTTGCTCGGCTGCTGCTGTTGCTGCTGCTGTTGTTGCTGCTGCTGCTGATTGGCCTGTTGCTGCGCGGCGGCGTGGGCGGCGGCGTGAGCGGCATTCGATTGCTGAACGGCCGCCGCCAGGAGTTGAGCCTGCGCCTGCTGGAGGAGCAGCTGCTGCTGGGCGGGGAGGAGGGCCGCGAGCTGGGGAGGGGGGAGAAAATCAAACATTTGTGAATTTTCACGTCTTTCAACAAACCTAAATAAAAACATAAAGGTAACGTTTGCTTTATCTTTACTGCTTCTAACCCAAGCGGTGTGTTTTCTCACCCCTGCGAGCTGACTGCCTGCCAGCATCAGCTGTGTGTGGTGATGCTGAGCCTGCTGCTGCTGCTGCTGCTGCTGCTGGGAGGGGGGAGCAGGGGCGGCCGCCGGGCTCTGTGTTATCTCTGAGCTTTCATCGCTCTTTACCTGAAAGAAAAGACAAACTGCCCTTCAGAAAAAGTCCAGATCAGACTTTCTTTGATGCTTTGCTGTTGCTCCACCTCAGCCGAGGCTTTTCTAAGCTCGCAGTGATGGTGGGAGTGTTTAACACAATCCTGCAGACGGCCGACTCTGGATGAAGGGCTGAAAATCACAAGGTTGTCTACAAAATGTCTGATGCTGCATCTTTAGCGCACCCAGAACCGATGGGAACATCTAACCAGCTCATTGAGAAGGAAGATAAAAATAAGGTGACGATTGTAAGTGTGGTAATTTAACCACACAATATTTTTATTTGCTTTCCGTTACTGGTTTAAAAAACGGCTCGTTATATAGTCAGGAAACCATCTGTTCAACTGAGATTATCAGTTAGAATAGAAATGCTTCCCTCTAAGATTCACTTTTTTAAAGTTCTTTTTTTCAGATTGCAGCAGGACGAGTCAATCCTTCCTGAAGCTGCTGACCTCTGACCTCCTGCTGCAACCTCCCGTCCATCCAGGCTGCACTCTGCTATCTACACCTGCAAATCACCATCTTCTTTTCCTGTTGGTGCTTCTTTCTTCAAGGTCTTTTATGATTAAAACTATAAACAAAATGCATCTAATCATGAGGGAAATGATCGAAAAGAAATAATCAATACATGTGCAAAAAGAAAACAGCAATTTTCGGTTAATAAAAGGCACACAGCAGACTTTGTGACCTAAAGAGTAGACGCATATATGAGTTATTTTAAATGATTCCTCAGGCCGACAGACGGCGCTTGGTACTATCAATGCTACGAGCGGGGCTCCCTTCTTGAAATGCATCCTATGTAAGTTGGGAGAAGATTCATCGTCAGTGGGAGTGTTAGCCTAGTGGTTACAGCGGTGCGCTTGTGCTCTGAGAAGGTTGCAAGTATCCAGTTGAATCCCACAGCTTCCACTCTGGGTCTCTGAGCAAGACCCTTAACCCCACACTGCTACCCGGGCGCCACACAATGGATGTCCACTGCTCCCCATGGGGATGGGTAAATTCAGAGTTTTAATTTCTCCATTGTGAAATCAATAAAGTTTTATTTCTCATGTGACCTGGAAGAACGTATCGCATTATGGCCGCAGGCTCTTATATAGTCATGGAGGTAATTCTTATGCTCTATTATATTTCCGGCTGCTCTACTACTGGTCATGGATGTGGCAACTAAATAGTTTTAACTTTCTGAGAGGCTTAAAAGAGAACATGTGAAAGGGATTGTGCACGAGGAGAAACCAGAGTCGAGTTTTTTCATTGGTGCAGCCTGAAAGAAGAAGGTGGATGTTAAACTGATTCTCTCTTCTAAACTTTATTATTAGACTGGTAAGGTACCGCTTCGCTCCTTGTATACAGTCATATTACTTTGTTATTATTTCTAATGTTTAGTTGAAGCAAAATAAGGGAAGTTACAACTCTAGCGCCCCTAGTGGCCAAAAGTTACAGTCGTAGGGAAGCGGCTGTTCCAATTCTGAATTCTCCCGAGTGGTGCCCAACTTTACACGAGTGAATAAAGTGAATGATTGGTCGATTATCAAGGGGGCGGGATTGTATGGCGGAAGGTTCGCAAGCAAGTTTGGTTTGTCGGAAGCATCTTGCTAACCAGTTAGCAACTTAGTGCTAGCAGGGTCCCAATGGGAAATTCCATTGGGACCAAGTAGCACTAAATTGGTGACTTAGAAACGACGCTGTCAAGGAACGCTATGGACAGAGGAAACATGCAAGAGGAGGAGAGTTTAGTGTCGGAGGTCGTGGATGAGTCTCCTCCGTCATCCATTTTTTATTTAGAGGAGGAAAGCGGACGGAAGAGGACGCCAGGGCGGCAGAAGCTTGGTTTGGTGTAGAAGGCTTCCAGCCGTCCATGTTTGAGCCCTTGCCTCGCAACGCTGCCAGTTCTGTTAGCTCTACGCCTGCCGAAGACACAGACGTCCATCCCCATGAACACTGGGACGGAACTCAACAGGAAAGGATTCTGATTTCTGATTTCAACTGTTGCGTATATTAGCTGCGACATATGAAGATGCTGTGACCGAAAACATTTGATTGACAGATGAGCGTTTATATATGATTGGCCGAATTTAGGTGTTCAGGCTGACGTAGAACTAACTGGCCTGCATAAGATAACGAAAAAAACCCCACAGAAGGTGGGAAGACAGGATATTTTTAGAAGTTTTCTAACTTTTGGGACACTATTGTCTGATAAAGACTACATTTATATACATTTTTAAGCCAGAATGATTTGACATTTAAATATGACTTCCCTATGACTTTAAATAAAGACATCAATACGATTAAAAATCTATCTTTTTAGTGACAGAAATCGTTCCGGTCTCTGTCTGTCTTGATATTTGTCAGATTTGGTTAAGTTCTGAACCAGGTGAACTCAGCCAGCATGTGGCATCCAGCTCACCTTGCCGCCTGCCGCTGAGGGAGAGAGACTGTAAGGGCTGCTCTTCACCATCTGGACCTGCAGCTGGAAATAAATCACAAACATTGATATGGATTAGTTTAAACCTTAGACGCCTAAGATTGTTTAAACACAACATCAACCACTTATCATAAAGCAGCAGGATTCATTCTGACTCCATCATATCATTTATTATTGGTGTAAATCTATAAATGTGCATCTGGACATCAGGAAAACCATGAAAACCCACCTGGTCATCAGGGCTGTTTCTGTCAGAGTCTGAAAAACAGAAAAACAGATGATTATCAGGCTGCATCAAACAGAATATCCATCAGTTCATATAGTTAGTGTGGGATATTGACCAGAATAAGGAGTCTAAATTCTACTTAGAGAGAATGCAGCGATAAGTTATTCATAATTTTAACTACATATATTGGCTTTAGAAAATTTGAAAACATGCGCCTCATTTTTTAAAATCATATAAAATAACATTTTTTCTGCTGCTATCATCACCAGCAAACATTAAAAGACTCCACGACCATTATATGATTTTAAAAAAACGTATCTTTTACCTTCATGAATATTAAACTTCTTCTAAATTGAATTTGAATAGCATTCACACAAACCCTCTAACTGTCTGTGAAAATGTCCAAACAAACTGTCTGATTTTTGTTGTGCAGGAAAAGTTAACTGTAATTCAATGCAGAATGTGACACCTTCTACAGGGAAAAGTAGAAAAGTATGAAAGGAGAAAAAATACAAGTTACTTTACTTCCTGTTCAGGTTTTTATTACATTTAGAGCAAAAATCTGCTACTAATATTGAATGAACCTATTATTGGTTGAGTCACCCTCTAAAAAAAACCCATAAACTCAGCCCACAGCACAGAAATAGTTCATTTAGAAGTAGGGATGCACGATATAATCGGCCCCCTATCGGTATCGGCCTTAAAACTGAATATCGGACATCGGCCACCCCACCGATATTTAACCCGATATTTGATCAGCTTCTGAGTTTCTAAAGTCTAAACATAAATAAATAAATACTACTTCTTCCTCAAAAACGTCTTTTTTACAGACTTAAAAACTTCTAAAGACGAGGGAAAAAATATTGATACATTAAAATATCCCAATATCTTCATATGCTGATATATTGCCATTTAAAAACACCATATCAATCTCTTTTACTAATGAAATATTGCTATATGTCATCGTTATGCTACGAAATCCCCCGAAAATCCACGAAATTTTGCCATATTTTTATATGTTGATATATTGACGCGGTATCGATCTATTTTACTAACAAAATCTCACAAGAATTTGCAAAATATCACGAGAGTTTGTAACAGAACGATGAAATTTCACGAGATTTTGAAAGTAAAATAGATCGATACCGCGTTTTAAAAATCTATTTGATATCAGCATATGAAAATATATTTGAGTATATTATTTTTCAAAGTGTCAGAAATGGATAACGAAACTGCTATTTTCAATGACTACTTATTTTTGTCCAGCTTTAACATCAGTATCGGTATCGGTTATCGGCTACATGAGTTTTAAAATATCGGCATATCGGATATCGGCCAAAATCCCAATATCGTGCATCCCTATTTAGAAGATTTGTTTCCTGAAGTATTTATGAAAGAAGTACTGCAATGCTTGGAAAGAAGCAGCATGGCTGTTTAATCCATGCAGCTGGGAAGAAGTTAGCAGCTCAGTAAGACGGTCAGCTCAGTTCCCGGCCAACGCTTTGACCTGGAACAGGAGCTGGAAGACAGAACTGTTGGACGATGTCTCCCGTCCCAAAGTTAAAAATATCCTCCACTCCATTCATAAAGCCGTTTCAGCGACATGCAGCTGTACCCTAGGTGCATTTACACTGCAAAAACGATCTAGAAATAAGTAAAAAATTCCTTAATTAAGTGTTTTCACCCTTAGTTTGAGAAGGTAAATGAGAAAGTTTACCAATGAAATGAGTAATTCTACTCTTAAAATAAGATAATTAGATAATATGTACTTGAAATAAGACAATGCAATTGTGTTTTTTATTTTAAGTGTAAATTGTCTTGTTCCATTGGCAGAATGTCTCTTTTAACTCCTTAATTCAAGAATAAATGCACTTATTTTAAGAAAAAAATGACTTGGCTGTTAGACCTTAGAACCATCATTGATGGTAAGTTGTCTACAATAATTAAATTTTTCTCTCCTATTTTCTTATAAATAGCCGACTGTTGTTATTTTTTGCAAAAATGTGTGTTTTATTTTTCTAGTTAAATTTTTAGTTCATTAGATCCAAGCATACAGTTTATTTTTCTACTTTTCCTTTAATTGCTGATTAAAATACCTACATTTCCCCACTCTAGAACAATACATGATGATTTTATTCTTGACATTAGCTGTTAAACATTAGGAATAAAGCAATAACCTGTACATCACCTCTACGTTAAGAAAAAAATAGGATGTGTTATTCTTTAAAGTCATTTTAGAGCATAAATTTTAGTTCCTGCAACGGTTTGCCTTATACCTGAACTTTCACCTGGATATTCAGCTCCAGGCTTCTCCTCCCCCGGTGCTTTGGACATCCTGATATCTGCAAAGAAGAACACAGACCAGTCAGAGGAAATAAGAACAAAAATATGATTAACGTCAAAATCCTGTAAAACCTGAAAACAAACCAAAAATGTATAAATGTCAAAGAAAAAAAGGAAAAAGGACTATCTACATTTACATTGTTAAACTTTTTTAGAGCAGCATCGAAATAAATTTGGTATATAACCATACGTAATTAATCATATTTATTTGCTGTAAATAAACAATAGTTTTTTTAAATACACAGATAAATATCAATTGATAAACAATATGTAAGAAGATGGATCGAATTTCTTCTAAACATCAGCAACTCCCTTGCAGATTGTCCTCCAAGGTGGTTTAAAAACAAGCCAATGTGCATCTGAACTTTCCTACAGTATATTTAAAGTGCCTGAACATGTGTGCATTTGATTTGAATTAATCTGAAATCAGTTGAGATTTAAACCTCCCCCCAAAGTGCAGCAAATATGTTTCAGAAGTGAGTGCATGTAAATATGCAGAGACTGCTGGACAGAAGCAGCTAACGGATTACGAATATGGTTTTCCTGGCAGTAAATGTTCCTGTTTCCTAAACTTTCCGCTTCTTCTTTTTTGTTCGTGGTCACATCTGGGACTGCAGCAGTAATTGGACCCAAAAGAACTGCAGAAACTGCTTAACTGAGCACCAGACATTAATCAGAACCACCATGCAACATAAAACACTTCATCGCTCTCAACCTTCTTATACCTTTAAAATATATTTATTTATATAGTTTAAGCCTAAAACTATTTGTATTTTAATTGAATCTAGATGAACGTTAAAGGTTAGCTCTGATATAAACAAATAAAACAAAAAATAATCAGCATAATAACCATTCAAAACAAAGCTATTCTTTTTTCTTGGAGACAAAGGGAAATGACCCACTGTCCCCCTCAATTAAAAAACAAAAACCAAAAAACCCCCAACAAAATAAGGAGTTTTACATTTCTGCCACACGCCTGAAAAACACACAGTTTAGAAAAACTGTTGAATAATATAAATATCAAATGTGTCCTGCCTGTGTTTTCTAAAATAGCATTTTCTTCGATCAGGTCAGTGAAAGGTTCAAGGTAAAATATTGAGAAAGATAAAGACGAGTGAAGAAAAAAGATGGATGATAAAAATAATATAATGAAATCAATCTACTTACCGTAAGTTTTTATATTTTATTTTTCTAATATGAGAAAATGTAAATTAAATAATATAAACATTTTAAAAATGATTCTTATTTAAAGCAGGTATTTCTTCAGCAGAGGCCAAAAGCAGCCGATTGAGCCGGTTTGAAATCTACAGTTACACAATCCCACCAGAAGGTGGCAGCATTGTCTCAGAATTGATCAGGTAGAGTTTCTGTTTTGATCAAACAAGCCGCTCAAGAAATGAAAAAAGGTTCTCTTGGATTTATTCATAGTAATTTTTATCTTATAGAGCAGAATAACTGGTTTTTTGATATCTGAATAAATCATTTTTTATTTATTATAAAACATAAAAACTTAAATCAACAAATATGTAAAAAAAATTCAGCCTTTCTTACTCCATCAGTTTTTTTATACAAGGAAAAATGCTAATAGTGATCAAATGAAACCTGATAAAAAATTTTAAGTTGTTACAGATTAAGAAAAAAAAAAAAAAAAAAAAGATATTATATATATATATATATATATATATATATATATATATATATATATATATATATATATATATATATATATATATATATATATAAGGTTTTGTTTAATTTCCCATATTGTTTTATGAAGTTACACTTCTGCCAAACAGGTAAATCGATCCCCCGCCACTTCTGTGTGTGATTACAAAACAAAATACTATTGATTTTATGATTTAGTTAATTTTAACCAACCATTTCCATAGCAGCTTCAATTTTAGGACTAAATAAAGTGTTTTTTTGTCATACTTTCCCTCAGCAGACTAGAAAAATCCTCATTTGTTTCTGCCTCTAACTCATCAGACTGTGTGGTCTTGGAAAAGCCTTCCTCATCCATCCTTCCATCCTGATCCCAGATGTCCATCTGCCACGGATCCATTATCAGGTTTCAGCACAAACTGTTCGACCGTTTTTCATTGAACAAACTGGGATGGCTTTGAATCTGTGTTTAGTTTCAGTTTTGATCCATTTCTGGTTGTTTTATCTGAACACAAACTCCTCCAATATAACGTCTTTTAATCTAGAACACACACACACACCCAGTGGGGGGGTCAGATGATGTATGTGTCCTGCAGCACTGTCCAGCGCGGCTCTATGTTGTAGTGGAAGGGCTGGTGGTGGTGGGGTTCCTAAACTCAGCGGCCTTTCCTCTCCCTCCTTTCTGCCCACCCACCCCGCCTCGGTCACGCCTGTCAGGGGCCGGTGACAGACGGCGCGTGGGTTTGTATGGATGGACTGGGGTGGGGGGGGTGTAGCTGGAGCTGTTTGGCGTGTGGAGGTCAAAGGTCAGGCACATGGCCCCTGCCACCACACTCTGTACACATCGGCTGTCTCCCGTTTCCACCTGCCACCTCCTCCCCCCGTCATGTAACATTGAGCGGAGAGCAAACCTCAGCGAAGGAAAGGAAACTTTGCAACTTTATTACACTTTCTTATACTATATAACATGTGGGAAATAAATAGTGATTTTAAACCTTTTAAAGCATATTTTCTCTTAAAAAGATTAGAAAAATCAATATACTGAAAAAAACTACATGTATTTAGATAAATCATGCTCCTCTTAAAATAAATCTTATTTTTTTAAATATAAAATGTATCTTGTTAGCATAATTTAGATTGCATCAGGAAGAGAAAGTTGAAATAAAGTAAAAAATTTAATGTTTAACATTTTCTTAATTCAATTAAATTGAAATAAGTTATGAAACATTTGCGAAAAAGCACCGATAAAAATCTGCAGCGGTAATTTATTTACCTTTTTTCTTTTATTTTGATAAAGCTGAAAACGTCTTAATAATAACAGCAAGCTGAACGGTTCTAAAATCTAAATCTTTCTAATTAAAAGGGTTTAAAACAGAATAAATATTTTTAATGTAAATTTTCCCCTTACACGGATTTATGTCCGTTTGTGGCCTTTTATTCTACAGATCTGCTAAAAGCAGGATGTTTAGTTTTTCTCGTTTTACCGAGCATATTTGGTTGGTAAACAGTCGGAAGACAGAGTTCACAGGAAGATGACGCAAACGTTTGTTTGGATGTAAATCATTCACACTGAAACTGACTACACTGCAAAAACGATCTAGAAATAAGTGAAAAATTCCTTAAATAAGTGTATTCACCCTTGATCTGAGTAGCTAAATGAGATAGTTTGCCAATGGAATGAGTATTTTACTTACTCAAATAAGATAATTAGATAATATGCACCTGAAATAAAACAATGCAATAGTGTTTTCTTATTTTAAGTGTAAATTGTCTTGTTCCATTGGCAGAATGTCTCTTTTACCTCCTTAATTCAAGAATAAATGCAATTATTTTAAGAAAAAAATGACTTATCTAGATTTAGATTTTTTGCAGTGTTGTTCATCTAGACTGAATTAAATTATATTTTAGCAGTTGATGTGCATAAAAATTGTCGATGAGCAGGAAGATAAATATTTTTAGCTCCTGATATAATAATAATTACCAATAATCAGATTATTTATTTATTTTTTTTCTCAGCTGATTCCATGCTGCCCTGATTTCCTGCAGATAACATCCTAAGCTGTTGGTTTGAGTATAACTGGTAAAAAAATAAAATTACAATATAATAGAAAGTCTGTGGATCGTTGTCAGATGGGCAGTCTGACCTATAATCCAGATTAACATGAACTATACATGATCAGTTTGACCTCTCTTTAATATTCATTATTCTATTTCACCCTTTGTAGCTTTAATATGTTTAATAACAGCTTCCTTACCTTCCATCTAATCCTCCCCTTGGTCTAATAAATGTAAATAAATAAACCTACATTTGAGTTTAAAAAATAAAGAGCTCTAAGATGTGGAAACAGTGAAGTTTTCCAGTCCAGAATTGTACCTTTAAAACTGGCTGAAGGTTTGATTTCCTACATTTGAACGTGTCTTTGGGCAAAGTGTCTGCGTTCATGTTTCAGTCTGTGAAATATTTAGTGCATTGTTGTTAGGTTATAAAAGTAGAACTCTGATGGAAATTAGGTAGAAAAACGCCATCATTTAGGTAAAAGATAGATTTGTTAACTTAAAAACACTGCAGTAATTAAAGCATTAGAAATCTGAAACTTAATAAATCTCTGCGTTAATTTAAAGGGATCTTTTCTTGTTTGATTTCCATCAGTTATTCAGGCCTTTCTTCTCTAATCTAACGGCCTCGGTTCTGCTCTCCGTCTCGCCGGCCTCCGGTTCCGTCTCCGCCTTTCCTTACTTTGACAGATTAGCTTTGGTTTTGCCATCAGGCTTTTGCCGTCAAGGTAAACCGGATTATTTCTGCCTCTGAGAAACATTTGTATCATTACAGCCACAGTTAGTGTCTCTCTCCGCCTCTGAGTTCTAATTTTTTCCCACTTTTTCAAACAGTTCCTCCCACACCCCTCGTCCTTCCCCTGCAGCGGTGGTCAGCGGCGGCGGTCGTGGCGCCGCCGGACAGTGTTAACGCAGGACACACGGCCCCCGTTGCCAGGCAACAGCGGTGCAAAATGGTTGTGTTTGTGTGCATGTGTGCGAGCGGGGACTTGTGCTCAGATGTGTGTGCACCTGTGAGAGTGTTAATCATTAAGAATAAGCATGTTTCTCTGCCTGAAGGTGTCGAAGTGGAGCAAACAAAGTCCTGCATGCTAATGTCTGCTGCTCTCACCTGAGCAGGAGGATTTATCTGCTTCACATTTATTTTCAGTCACAAGAAAACAAAGCATCTCTTCAGTTCGCAGTTACAAAAAAGTAAATATATAAAACACAGGTATGTGGGTAAATGGATTTATTGGGGCGGTTTAAAAATCCTGATTCTTTCTTTTGAAGGCCTAAAGTG